TGTAGCACAGGCTGACCTCAAACTCACAGTGATCCTCCTATGAGTTCAACCTCCCAAGTTCTGGGATTATAGGCATGCACCACCACACCTGGTACAAGGGTGTTCTTGACAGACCATTCTAGGTATACGTCTACAGTGTGGCTCAGACCTGGTTCCCACAGACTGGTGGACCCTCCCCCAGCCACCTCGGCATGCCAAACATGGTTGAGAAATGTGCACTGTGGATATAACCTGTGGAGTTAGATGACGCTGGGGTGGTTCCTCCTCAGACTGCCTTGTTAAACTCATAAACCCTTCCTTCTGTCCTAGGGAAATGACGTCATAGGGGAAGAAGACAGCTCTCCCATGCAAGAAGATGGTAAAAGACCTGGCCTTTTGCTCCCTTGTATTGTGTGTCTCTGCTGGGTATTCTCTAAGGGTAGAGAAAGGAGAAATGCTGGGACTTGGTGGCAGTGCTCAGTTGAGTGGCTGTTGGGGGAACAGTTGTGTTCTTGCTGGTATATCAAGGCAAGAAGCATGTCAACGACCTCAGTGAGCTTCCCAGCTCCTTCAAGGACTCAGAGCCAAGGGTTTCGGGATGAGGATGCTGCAAAAGACATTCCTGTTCTGCCCGTGCAGTCAGTAGACCCGCGCTTTTGGCAACTCCAGCTGCAGGTCTCTAGCTAAGCCACAGAGTTGCCCTGACAGCTGTCTAGAGAGCAGCAGCAGAGTCTTCCAGGCAGGAGACAGGACTGTTCGATACCTTGTCTGATTTTGCTTTAGTGGAAAAGGTGACTGACATTACTGTACAGGGGACCTTAGGAGGCAGCACACACCCAAGAGTGTGGCCAAGGGATGATGTGGCTTAATTCAGCAGCTCAGCCTAGGCAAGAACGTTGTAGGCACCGTAGTGATGGCTTTGCCATAGTTCAGGCATCTGTTATTTCTCTAGTTGGAAGAATTTGTTGTCAGCGAGGCTGGAAAAGAAGGAATGCCTGCAGGGTAAGGAAGGAGGGAGAAGGAAAGGCGGGAGAAGCCACACCACCTATCCCAGGAGCCAGACTTCCTTCCCTCTCTGCCCTGGGGCACCTCCTGAGCACACACCTCCCGTGGCCTAAACACAGTTGCACCAGCAGATGTCATCCTAGTTGCTTCTGCTTCAGCACTGGCCATTGCTTGGGGGTGTCAGACTTGACAGCTCCCGGCCGCCAAGACCTGGAGAGAGGACAGCCACTGGGGCCGTGCCTCCCGCTCCTGCACACCAGCCCTGGGCTTGAAGCTTTATAACCTCAGCAGATGATTTTGGTGTCCCAGGTTCAGTCACGAGGTGATGGTTTCTTCTCTCCCTTTGATCAAGGAAAAAAGGGGGAGCTCTAAAACAAAATCACTGGGGCTAGGGATATAGCTCAGCAGCACAGCACCTGCCTGGCAAGCATGAGGTCATGAGTTCGATTCCTGGCACCCAAAAAAAGAAAAAAGAGAAAAAGAAAGAAAGAAAAAGGGCCAGGAATATAGCTCAGTGGCACAAGCACCTGCCTGGCAAGTGCAAGGTCCTGAGTTCGATTCCCAGTACCAAAAAAAAAAAAAAGAAGAAGAAAAAAATAACTTCTTCAATTTTCCCTTTCCCCTCTTACATGTCTGCAGCAAGTGCAAGGTCCTGAGTTCGATTCCCAGTACCAAAAAAAAAAAAAAAAGAAGAAGAAAAAAATCACTTCTTCAATTTTCCCTTTCCCCTCTTACATGTCTGCAGCTTTCTGAGCACTCACTGAAAACATACTCAAAATAACAACTTTGGTCTCATAAGAGAATAAATCATAATTTTGTGAATGTGGTCATTCTGATTTGATGTACAAAATTATGGAACCAAAGGCCTTTAGTTGTTGTTTTATGTGTTTATCATGTTGTAGAGCCTTGTGGTCATAAACAGCCCCCCTCATACTGTAGATAGCCACACGCATGAGCAGGGTATCACCCCCACACACCCCTCCCTGATGTTCTCCAGCTTCTGCTGCCATGGTGACAGTGGCCTGGCCCGGGTAGCTGCCCTCTGTAGTGGTTTCTGTTGAGCCCAAGCCCCACAGCCTTCTACAGGGACTTGAATTAGGAAACAGCAGCTAAAAAGGGGCCAGTTAGGGAAACACACCAGGATGGCGCAAGAACCTAGGCGTGCCCACACAATTTGATTCCTTTTTTGTCTACTCTTTACCCACTTAATTATTGTCTTTTTTTAACATGATTTTATTTTTTGTCTCCATCCTTAAGATTTTTATTTTAAGGACAGCAAAGCAGAGAAAAACACAGCCAGCCCCTCTCTAACTGCCTTAACTCCATTACAGGCCAGAGGACATGCGCATTTCTAGGTATGGAGTGTGACAATAACAATGACTTTGACATCGCAAGCGTGAAAGCACTGGACAATAAGCTGTGCTCTGAGGTCTGCTTACCCGGTGAGTGGCAGTCTGCTGGCATGAACTTGGAGGGAGACATCCCTCCGTTCTAAACCCTGGTCTCACCCTGTCCACCTGTCTCCTGCCCTGCAGTGCCTGCCAGCAAGGCCAGGGTACTTGAAGGTGCTGGAGACAGCTACTGAGAAGTGAGAAGGCCTCAGGAGAGTTCTTGAGCTCTTACAGAGAATGACTCCTGCTCTGAGAATATTGGGATAGGAAAAATTGCTCTTCTGATTTGGCCCAAGTGTCCCCCTCTCTCAGGATCTTGCACATACCATGTCAACTAGCCTGTCTTATGTTCATCAGCAGGAAGTTTGAGCAAACAAACACCCCTCCATGCAGGTCTTGGAAAGTTAGTCTGACCCCTTTAAAAGTGAAAATGTAGCTTCTCCATAAGACATATATTTAAGTTAGGATCAGAAAGGAATTTGAAAACCAGCATTATAGGCCACTGAATATCTTTGTGGTCCAGTGAGCTTTAGCTTCCCAGTTTTTGTACATCCTAGCTTTAGATCTGAAAGAAGAGGCCAGGGGGCCAGGGGTAATTCTGCTCCCTGGAGCCCTAACTGTAAATTTGATCCAGTTGTCAGTGTGCCCCTGTCCTTTTCACTGTTCCAAATTGAACTTGAGGTCACTTCCTGTCAAGCAACTATGTTAATCACACTTTGAGCACTGACCCCATGTGCTCATTCATAGGCTCCAAAAACCACTTCTCTAAAACTCAAGTCTCACTTGAGTGGATCAGGTCACACATCCCCTCCTGGTTCCACTGCAGAAGTTGTCCTTCCCGCTGTGCTGTTGTAGTCCTCACCAACAGTCTTGAATGAAGACCTGCTTCAGCTTCGGAATAGCCTCCTGGGTCCAGTGCTTTACTCGCTCAGCGAAGTGGCTGGAGGTATTGGAGCCACATAACCTCCTGTGGTTGCCACTCTCCATCAGCCTGTGCCAGACACGGTCCCAGCAGGCCCTGGCCCCACGCAGGCTTGTGGCAGGGAGGCCAGAAGGCTCAGGAGATGCTTTCTCCAGCCTTGCAAAGGGCACTTTGGTCATCTCTATTTTGTTTGTCCTGAAGATACTGCCAAGGTCTCTTAATCTTCAGTGAGGCCCAAGGAGGGAGTACCAGCTCACCTGTTTCTCCTGCACAGGCCCAGGACAGACCCCTCCAGCCTGAGCATGGAGGAAGGGCATTGACCCTTGTGGCTGCCTCCTGCCCAGTTAGACCTGGACTGGGGCTGCTGGGTACCAGGGCACACTTACTCCCTGCCCTCCCACTCCTGACCTTGCTTCCATCTGTCCATCTGTGTTTCACATCTTTTTGCCAAATGTGGATCTGTCTGTCTGTTTTTTTTAAACTCATTTATGTTGCAGCTTTGTGTGAAAGTTCATGTTCACTCTGTGCCAGCACTGTCCTCCCTGCCTCTGCTCAGCCCAGCCTCGAGCTTGCTGACATGCTCACACTGAGGGCTCTCGCTTAGGGCTGCAGACAGCTTTTTGTTCCTAACTGGCAAGGGCCTGTATTTCAATCACCTAAGATTTGCCAAGAAAAAAATACTTATGAGAATAATTTCTGTTCAGCAAAAATGGGCATGCTTCCGTGGTGAGACTTATGGAGGGGATTTGTTTTCAATTGGCATCCTTGGCCAATAGCTGGGTGAGGATGGTACTTGTACCTAGCTCTGCCTGTCTCTGCGGCAGTTCTCTGCCAGCCAGCCTCTCCCTTCAAGGGCTCCCCACACATCCCTGCTTTTTGGCAGAGGGAGCTGCTGGGAACTATTTAAGCCAACAGCGCTGGTGCAAACTGAGCTTATTCTTTTTCTTCTTCCTAACTCCCTCCACTCAGCCTGCGTGTCCGTATGTACTGCACTCGTAGGGTTATGGGAAGGGCAGCAAGACCAGAAAGGAAGAAAGTAGCCCTGGGCTTCCTATGGTGACTTCTAGAGCCAGTAACTTTGGGATTGCCCTGGGTTCATGTTTGGCCAGATAGGAATACAAACACCTGTGGTAGCTGTTGAGAGAGGGTCTCAGGCATAGACAGATGCTTTTAGTGTCCATTAAATCCTCAACAGAGGTCCAGAGGGTGGGAGGTGGGCGGATGCATCTACTCTCTTGGAACAACATTTCTCTAATTCTTCTATTAGCATCACACTGATAGAAAAGCACTGGGAGACTCTGGAAGTCTCTGTTGGGTCAAAGCCAGGAGAGTCCATGTTGGTAGCCATGGACTAAGCAGGCTCTTCACACTCAGCTGTGGGCTCACACGTCCATCTGACCACGACAGACTGGCTTGGCTCCTTGCTGCTCCCGTGGGCAGTGGGCAGCCTTCAGGAGGGCTGCTTGTGCATATGGTCCCTGTTTGAGTCTGTTTCCCGAAAAGTAGATGCCATCCATTTACAGAGGGCCACTGGGGAGCAGAGCCCAGGGAAGGAGCTCACACTGGCCCCATGCCCCACACCATGTTCTTGCCAACCACTGTGCCCCAGGGCCCATCCTCAACACTCTGCTCACATTTGTGAGAGGTTTAGAAGACCCCTGCATTGTTCTAGCCCTTCTTCCCCCAAAACTTTGCCAGATCTTCTGGAACCCCATGTTCCTCTCACTGGGGGTAATATGTTCTGAGATTGCTTCTGAGAAATCCTCAAGGAGGGGGCGTCTGAGTTGAGAGATGTAGGTTGTAAGACCAGAACTGTGTGCTGTTGATATGGTTCCAGGGAATTTGGTCGGGTGTGACACAGATGTCTGGAGAGTGACAGGGGCAAGTGACAGTTCTGAGGAAAGGTTCCAGGACATGTATGAGATGGAAAAAGCAAGGATAATGGGGGTTTATAGTGGAAATACAAAGACCTTTAAATGACTGGATTGTACAGGAGTGAGCATATCTGGTAAAATCTAAACATACTCCTGGATATCTCCTGACCTCGCTCCTGCTTTCAGGCCTCATAACCCAAGACTATGATGGTACTAGGAAAGTTTACACTTTGTGGACACTAAGAAAAAAGTCCAAATTAAGTGTTTCTTTGCCTTTAAGGGAGACTACAAAGACAACTGAACTCTGTCCTTTAAATTTAACTGTGGTGGGCCGGGGATATAGCTCAGCGGCACAGCACCTGCCTGGCAAGCATGAAGTCATGAGTTCGATTCCCAGTACCAAAAATAAATTTAACTATGGGTTAGAGAGGCAAGAAAGGGGTATGCCAGATCTCCCTAAAAGTGCTCCTGAAATCTCCCTCTGTAGGTCTCTTCATTCCCCCATTTCTGATTCCCCAAGTAGAATTTGATGGAAAGCACATTTGTCCATCTCCCTGGGGGTAGTTCAAGTCACCAAGCTCTGTTTTCTGGCTGGAGGGCCCAGGAGCCTGACTCCGTGGCAGCCCTCAAAGGGAGTTGAGAGGAGTGCCAGCAGGGTCTGCTGTGGGCCCTTCAGCTCCTCTCTGAGGGGCCACCTCATTCTCCTGACAGATCTCCCCTCCGTACAGACTATCCTTCAGAGTCGGTCTGTCCCACTGGAGCTTGTGTATGGCCCTAGCTAAGACTTCTTTTAGAATGGTACAGCTTGTATTAGTGCTCCTGCTAGGTTGGTCTAAACGGCCGCCCTGGGCAGCCTCTCAGACCCAGCATCTCGGCATGGTGTGCTGCAGCGGTGGAGGCGATGGTGGCAATGTTGGTGCTGCTGTTTTTATTTGTATGTGCATGTGTGTCTTCTCTCTTGTTTACCATTTGCTTTTGGTCTTTCCCACTGAACAGCCGCAGTTCCGGAGTCCTGCCCCATAAACATTGAGGAATAGGTATGACATCTACCAAATTATATAAATGAACAAACAGCTCATTTTATTTGGGGTTCCTGCCTGAACAGGCAGTCTGAGCATTGCCTGATACGCCTTCTGCCACCCTCTAGAGTACCATCCTTCGAGGGGAAGGAGCACTTTTGACTCATAGCTCAGGGAGTGGAGTTCCCACCGGCAGTTTGTGTGAAAGGCACTGAGACCTGCCTGGGTAACTCCCTCCCCTCCCCTGGGTTCCAACACCAGGACCATTACTTCAGCCTCAGGACAGATTACCACGCCAGCATGTTTATGGGGAAATGAGCAGTTGGGACCTGTTCCATCTCAGTGCTTCTGCCTTTAAAGGGTCTTGGGTCTTAGGCTGGCTGAATCTGGGGCTGACCCCCATCACGTGTGAGTGGCCTCAGGACAACACTCTAGAGTTGACCAGCCTCATCCCCCAAAGAAGTCCTCTGATGGGCAAGGTGCCCTGCTGGGCTTTGAGGGGTAGCAGGAAATGTGCCAGGCCCCCAGCCTGGAGGAGCTGTGTCTGACAGAGGAGTGAAAAAAGGCCTACTGTTTCCACAGTGCAAGGAGAGAAGTGGGGAATCAGGCTGTTGGGGAACACTCAGGGTCTCACCCAGCTGGAAGATGGATTGGGAGAGGAGGCCACAGAGTCCACAGGACAAACCACCTTCTACAAGCCCAGGAAGGCAGGCTTCACACCCAGGCTGGAGTGACTGGGACTCTGCCATTCCTGGCAGAAGGAGCTCTCCAGCCGTCCTAGAGGGAAGGAAACAGGTGGAGCCAGTTTGATGGCTGGAAGACAATGCAGGGGGAGACACGAGGGCGATCTAAACAAAGCTGTGGGGTCTGATTCCTGAGCACACTCTGCTCAGCGCAGCAAATAGGATCCCTGGCTCCTTTGCACACCCATGAGGGAAGTTCTTGCCTTCCATGAGATGGCTGAGAAAGCCCAGGATCAAAGTAAAATGACTTGCCAAGATTACAGTCAGTATACTGTAAACAAGGTGGGAAGTCCAGGTAGGTGTGACATCATGGGAAGACAACTAAGAAATGAGCGAACAGGAAGTGGTTGTGAATTGGATGCAGAGCACAAAATGGAGGGAGGTGCCAGAAATGGGTTTCCAGCCTGGACACAAGGTGGCCAGAGGTTCAGGGCAGGAGGGTGAGCAGAGTAGATGGCTCCTGTGGGACCCTCAGGCTAGTGTGTCCTGGGTTAATGGCACCAGTGTCTGCTCCGGGTACAGGAGAAGAAGAAAAGAGGAAGGGCACCAGAGCATCACATTGTCCTCCCACCAGATGATCTCTGTCCTCGGCACTCTGCTAGCTGGCCAGCAAACAGTGAGGCTTCCGCAGAATCCGCATGCTCCTCATCCTTGTCCACTTCTGTCTGTCCTGGAGGAAATAGCTCAGTGAGGCCCAGTTTCTTTTTCTCTGTCAACTATAACATGGGCAGACTCCAGAACCAAATAATTCAGATACAAAAGTTGACACTAGTATAAGATCACAAAACTGACCCTATCCTGTCCCTCTGTGTCCATGGGCCACGGCACAGTGGCAGTGACTGCCTAGCCCAGCGGGGAGCAGCTCCTGCACATGTTGACACCTACTTCTCCTGTTCTTCCTCTCATGCACTGTGCTTGCACACTTGAGAGTCTCAGATCACATGAATCATGCTCGCTTCCATGTCAAGCTCCCAGGCTTTCCCACTGGATACACCCGGTGAACGTTCCCCAAGGTCTGCCTCCTGTAACCTTCATTTCCTCTCCTGCAGGTCCCTGGCAGGCTGATGACAACATTGTCAGTCGTCGGAACACTCAGCGCCGGCGCTTATCATCCAGCAGCCTAGACGACCCTGAGGACAGGTCCTGCGTGTGGAGTCCTCTGGCTGTCTGAGAGCACCTGCCCTTCTCCCCAGGCGCCCCTCCTGTCCTTGCATTCCATCTGTCTGCACTGGGCCACTGGCCTCCTGACATCTGCAGCAGGACATGTGTAGACTTTGCATACCCACGTGAAAGTTGGATGTGGAGTTCAACCTGCTGTTTCTCAGCCTTGTCTCCTGTAACCTTGATCCTTCCCCTCCAAAGGGACCAGAGCCCTCCTTTCTCCTCGTGGGCTGATACCACTGAACTGCAGCTTATGAGACACTCCTCAGAGACCCTGGACTGTGTCTGCTGCCCTCATGGGCAGGTGGAGCTGAGGGCCTGGGGCTACTTGTTTCTTCTGTGTTTTTTCTCCTTAGGGGGCAGACCAAGCAGACTCAGAGTTTTGGCAGCTTTGTTACAAACACCCATCTGAGAATTTCTGGTCTCTGGCACCTCAAAACCAATTTGAAACCTCCAGTTGGGGGTGGTCAGGGGATGACGCCTGAGAAGAGGGAGCAGTCTTGTGCCAGGTGTGGCGTTGCCCTCCTGAAGCATTAAGAGCTCCATTCTCAAGGATGAGCGAGATGGCGGCAGCCAAAAGGCTGGTTGAAAAGCTGGTTCTTCCTTCGGGAGCACAGCTGACCTCCTGTGTCTCATGTATCTGTCTGCTTCAAAAAAAGCCCTGAATCCAAGACCCTAGTTAGGATGACTCCCTTCTAGAGGCCTTTTCCTGATCAGGTAGCATTGCAGAGGCCTGAGACTCCACCCAGAGGCAACATTTCAAGAGCATTTCTGGACCACTTCTGTGTACACAGTGCTAGGGGCTATTGTACATTTCTTCTTCATGACAGCCCTGGGGCGGGGGGTCTGGTTCCTATGCCCCCGTCTCCATCCCTTCTTTAAAAGTTGAAGAAATAGGCTAAGAGAAGTGTGAAGCAGCAGTTCTTAAAGTGGTGCCCAGAACCACCAAGGGAAGTGTGGGGAACCCTGAGCTGTGTAAGTCCAGGCAGTAGCCCAGGGCCAAAAGTAGTGGCCTAGGAGCCCCAGGACCTTCACCTTGCAGACTCTTCCTACTCTGTTTCCCTCCCCTCCCTTCAAGATCTGAGAGTGAGAGGGAAGGAAGGGGCCTTCCAGTCACCATACAAAGGAAGCCTACAGCAGCAAGGCTGGCTGGGAGTCCTGGGTATCTCACCTCTCCTCGCAGTGGGTTCTGTGTGGCTCTCACATGGATGTTTTTTCCAGTGGCTTTTGGAAAAGGTGAGATTATCTGAGAAGCAGTTAGAAACAATTACTTGTGAGAGTTGGGTGTGGGTAAGCTTTAGACTGTGCCTACTATATTAGTGTTCGCAGTTGTTACCCTAGAAGAGCTTGCCAAAAAGAGCTCAATGTGCCAGGCATGGTGGTTCATGCCTATAATCCCAGCTATTCGGGAGGCAGAGGCAGGAAGACTGCATGTTCAAGGCCAGCCTGGGCAACTTAGTAAGACCCTATCTGGGGATGTAGCTCAGTGGTAGAGTGCTCCTGGGCTGGATCCCCACTACCACCGCCACAAAAAAAAAAAAAAAAAAAAAAAAAGTGTACAAGGCGTCCTTTGTACCTTTTGTGTAGCTGCAGAGGCCAGGAGTATGGTGACTGTCACACTGCCTAGTGGTTATGGCTCATGTCCTGTTCTGCTGGAGGAGAATCTGCTGTCCTGCTTGAAACAACAGGCCAAGCTGTAAGCTCCAGTGTCCACCCCCTCTGAACACTGCAGTGGACTGTGCCATTCCATAGCTCACCTAATGTCCCTTCCTTCCCTTGGCAGCCCTTTTCATATTTAAGACGTAAACCAGTATAAGTTGAGCAATAACCTCACTTCCTGATTTCCTTGAAGTGTGAACCCCAGAAGCACCAGGGAGCTTCCCTTAGCCTGGGGTGGTGGCACACAAACCCTCCTCCTCTCTCGGCAGGTAGTATTCACAGTGTGGTGTAACCTGGGAGGATGGAGGAAGTAGCTGAGATGAAGGAGATGTAGGCAAACAGTAGCCTCAGGCCACTAGCCACAGAAGTCGCTATCAACCCTTCCCAGAGGATCCCTGTCCTTCCTCACAGCAAGTGCTCTGTCTTCTCCCAGGCAGGCCTCCAATCCCTAACCAAGACACACTTAGGTTAGAGTGCCCTTTACTTTGAGTTGCTCAGTGTCCCCCCCATTTAGCTATTGGCAGGCAGAAGTAGCCCACCCAAAGGGGTGAGCCTCCATCAGCATGATCAGGAACAGGCCCACTGCCACCCCCTGCCTCAGTTTATCATCTGAAGACAGCATTTGCCCTGATGGTTCAGGTGGCGGCTTCTGGAGGGCATAGACTAACTGGGGGTACCTGTGGCTCTAACAGCCATACTAGCTCCACACTCTTCCATGGCCTGGGCTACAGTTGTGATCCTAGTTTCCTCACAGAGCCTTTTTGCCTTCTATCCGGTTCCATCCCACCAGTTTATACATCACTGGGGCATTTTCTGGGCACAGACCCAAGCCCTTTAAGCTGTCTCACTGGGGAGATAGACCCTGTCCGCCTGGTGTTGGCATGCTGGTTGCTCACTCTGGCCTAGGGCCTGCACACCTGGTGTATGCAGGCGTGCGTGTGTATACTGTTGGTGCCATCTGTGTACACCCGCACTCTCTGGAGTACATTGTGAGCACACTACAGTGAGGACACCGAGAATACAATATTTATGGATTGCTGCATGATTCTTTAAAATGAATAAAATTGTTTACAAGGGAAGGAGAGCTAAACCACAAAGTGGACTGATTTGCGAAAGTTTCTGTTCAAGTTTCTCAGGACGACTATAATATTTTTACTCAAGAGGATCTAGAGGTGGAGGAGCAGCCAAGACAAGGGGGAGGAAAATGCATGTTCCTGGCCTTCTGTGTGGCCTTGGCACAAGGCCTCTGGCTCCCAGCCTTCCACTCCTGGGCAGAGCCCGACCCCAGCTTCTGCAGCCACCTTTAAACCGGAGAACTTCCAACACTGCAGCTCCTCAATAATTAAAAAGTAGGAAAGTGGTGACAGGAGGGAGGCCAGGGGAAGGGAGGAGGGACAGCCAGTCCCCAGTGTCCCTCACAGTTCCTGTCACTTAAAGGATGCTGAAATTTACAGGTCAAATAATCCCACTAGCAGGATTTGGCAACTCGGTGGATTTTCCTTTTTTTTTTTTTTTTTTTTTTTTTGGTACTGGCTGTGCTTCCTTGGCTATCTGGAAGGGAGAGCACCCCTGCAGAACCCTCTGGAATGTTGGCTTCCGGGAGCCCTGTGAAGATGGGAGGGCAGGGAGCTGCTTACCAAGAGCCATTGGGGCACCCTATCAGCTTTGTGACTGCCAGCAGTGAGGCCGCTTCTGCGGATGTGAGCGGCAGGTGGCATCGGAGAGTCAGACCTGTCCCCGGAAACCACAGAGGACACTTGGGGTCGTAAGCAAGGGAAAGGCCGCAGAAACATGAGAAAGTGCCACTTACGGCCCAGAGAAGAGGAAAGAAATCCTCAAGGATATGGTGCCCGGGCCCGAGCCTGCTCCCCCAACCTTGGCCCTGCAACCCTGCCTGGTCCCAGAAGCCACCCACGCCTCCGAGCTGCCAGACCTAAAGTGGCGGGGGGCGGGAGCGGCAGTTCTCCGGCGCGTGGACGTATGGCGGTTTCCGAGGCCTCGGGCGGGAGTCGCGCGGCTCTCCCACCCCAGCGCGGGTCCCTCGGGCGGGAATGCGCGGGGCCGGGACGCAGTGGCGGGTAGGGGGGCTGGGTGGCGCGCGAGAGGTAGGTAGAAGGAGGGAGTTCAGAGAGAGTTGCCGCCAGAGAGGAGAGCGAGAGCCCGCGGTCTCCTTGGAGACGTGCTAGCCAATGGCAGCAGCGGAAGCTGTTTACGGGGGCGGAGTGTCACCATGGCAGCAGGAGAAGCCTTTGGAGCGGCTACTTAACGCTGGTCCTCCAGTCGCCTGCACTCAGAGAAGCGCCGTCGAGTGTGGGGGGGCGACGAGGGGCGCTGGCGCGGCCCTCGAGCTGGGAACAGAGAGCCGCGGGGGTGTGAGGAACTTCTTCCAGAACCTTCCTCTGTCCTGGGCTGCGCTCTGAGCCAGGTAAGGTAGGGAAGTGCTACGGAGCGCGGGAAGGGGGGCATCTGACCAGCCCAGCGACGGAAGTAGTGGGTCCTGGGACCGCCAACTGAGGAGTTTTTGGGAATTTCCCTCTTCCCACGTAACTCTGTCCAATTCTCTGGGCTTCTCATGACCCCTCATTTTAGTATGGTATCTCTCCTCAAAAATCCGACGACCTCTCCCACCCCGGCCCGTGGTACCGCCCTCCCTGATGCCTGGTCTGTCTGCATTTGTTGCGGCGGAGGGGTCCTGATTTCCCGCTCCCCGGAAAAAGGGATACCCTACTTTCTTTGCTCTTCCTCTGGCTGCTCTCTCCGCTTCCCTCGTGCCGCCCATAAAACCTCGGAGTGAAAAGGGAAAGAGACAAAACGGCGGGGCCCAGGGCACTGCAGGACCCTGCCTGGCAGGCCGTGGGGACGAATTTGGAAGAGGTTCCCAGTACACAACCTTCTCCCCGCAGGGGTGGAGATCGAGTGCTCAGTTTCACTGTGGTTCCCGCAGGCGCTGCGTTCATATTAGGAAGCGACCCCCGGGTCGCGGGATGGAAGTGTTCATCCGCGAGGCTGTGTAACTGGAGCCGCAGGGGCCAGCGGATCGACAGCGCGGCGGGTACCCAGGCTCAACCCGTGGATGTTGACCGCCCCCTCGGAGAGTCCCCGAAGATATGGCTGAGAGCTGGCTGCGCCTCTCGGGAGCGGGGCTGGCAGAGGAGACCGGGCTGGAGGGCGGTCTGGAGGAGTCCGACACCCTGGATGACAGCCTGACCAGCCTACAATGGCTGCAGGAGTTCTCCATTCTCAATGCCAAGGCCCCCATCCTCCCTCCGGGAGGCACTGACCCCCATGGCTACCACCAGGTGCCAGGTTCCATGGCTCCTGGGTCCCCCCTGGCGGCAGACCCCGCCTGCCTGGGGCAGCCGCACACACCAGGCAAGCCCACATCGTCCTGCACGTCGAGAAGCGCGCCCCTTGGGCTGCAGGCCCCACCCCCGGACGACGTAGACTACGCCACTAACCCGCACGTGAAGCCGCCCTACTCTTATGCCACACTCATCTGCATGGCCATGCAGGCCAGCAAGGCCACCAAGATCACCCTGTCGGCCATCTACAAGTGGATCACGGACAACTTCTGCTACTTCCGCCACGCTGACCCCACCTGGCAGGTAGGGGAGCCGCGGATGGTGGCGCTCCCTCCCACGTCCTCCTCCCCGCACTCCACCGGACACACACACTAGATCTACAAGGCCAAGTGGGCGCAGCCAGGGCCCCCAAGGGAGGGGAGCCTCGAGGTCCTCAAAGGAGCCCAGTTCTTGGAACTGCCCCTCCTTTGACTTCCAGAGAGGGGAGAGGGCGACTGCCCTAGGGGCAGAGGACTTTAAGGGTGCAGATGTTGAGGTTTAAAGGGAGAGAATTCACACATCCCGCAGCCCAGCCTGAAGACCAAGTCTAGACTGTGTGGATGAGTCTCCTGGGGAGGGTGATGAGCTGACAGCACATTCTTGTCCCGAGTCCTGGAGTTCCTGGACACCATCCTGCTGGAGGACAGTTAGTCAGAGCTAGACTAAGACAAACCAGCCACCCTCCCTGCTGGCCTTTGCAGCCTGCGAGTTTTTTTGCCCTTTTTGGGGAGGGGGACAGGAAGGAATGGTAAGGCATGTGATCAGCTGCTCCTGTGGAGGGGCTCTGGGACCTTCCTAAAATTGCTGTCTCAACCCCCACCTCAACCCCTCCCCAGTTTCCTGCCTCACTCCCCCCTTCTCCGCCAGCTTCCCTGGGGGGACAATTACCTGAGCCAGGTGCTTTCCACAGGGGCTCTGCGTGCTGCACCGTCTTCGTGTTCCAAGTCTCTGGTACTGGCACAGAGCAGCCAAGGGGCCCAGGCCGCCACGTAAACAGTCCAGCCTTGCCAGGGCACTGTCCAGCCTGCCACCCCCACCTTACACCCCTGTCCCCCAGCATGATGTGGACAAAACTAAGCACCCAAGAATGGACAAGGCAGGAAGATGCAGGGGTGGAGGATGGGTAAACATTGCCCAGAGTCTTCAACCCTCGGATCCAGGGCTAGTTGGAGATTGAGGCCTAAGGACTCTCACCCTTCCCTGAAGAACCCGAAGGGGGCAGGCCACAGGATCACACTCCCGGGTCATTCCAAACGGTCTGGACATTAGGGCAGAAACCCCCATCCTCACTTTACCCTAGACCTGTGCAGCTCAGGGCCCAAAAGTGCATCTTGTGCTCTGGCCTGGGTAATAATCAACAGAGCCTGAGCTGGAAAGACAGGGCCAGCAGCTGGCTCAACGAACAAGGAAAGTCACCAGATTCCCTCACTCCTCACAGCTACACACACACACACACACACACACACACACACCCATGGTTGCCCAGCCCCCTGCATTGACCTACTCATTCACTTTACAAACAGAGGGCTCACCAGGCTCAGGCAGAGGGAGATGGCGGTCCAGGCCGTGGGGGACCCGAAGGCTTTGGCCAAGGGCCGCAAACAGCAGGGTAAGGGAGGGCAGTTCAGAGGACGGGGGTGGCACTGAGAGCCACCCTGCGGCTCAGAGCTCGGATGACTGAGCAGGCAGATATCCTGGCAACAGAGAACAAAAGCCCCCGACAGCACTCCAGGTTCCTGGTGCCCTGTGGCTGGTGTCCCAGAGTCCGCAGCAGCCGCCTTGGTCAGAGCAACAGTCGCCCTCCTTTCCCCCTGTCAGAGAGAAGATGCGGGGAGCATGCAGGAGTACTGGGTGCCACTCCATCAGCACCATCCCCACTGACCTAGCTGTTCTTTCTTTCTCTCTCTTCCTGTGCCCAGAATTCCATCCGCCACAACCTGTCCCTGAACAAGTGCTTCATCAAAGTGCCTCGAGAGAAGGATGAACCAGGCAAGGGGGGCTTCTGGCGCATTGACCCCCAGTATGCAGAGCGGTTGCTAAGTGGGGCCTTCAAGAAGAGGCGGCTACCCCCAGTCCACATCCACCCTGCCTTTGCCCGCCAGGCTACACAGGAGCCCAGGGCCACCACCTGGGCCGGGCCACTGACCGTGAACACCGAGGCCCAGCAGCTGCTGAGGGAGTTTGAGGAGGCCACAGGGGAGGCAGGCTGGGGCGCGGGCGAGGGCAGGTTTGGGCGGAAGCGCAAGCAGTCGCTGCCAAAGCGGGTGGCCAAGGTCCCAAGGGTCTCCAGCACCCTGCTGCTGACCCAGGAGGAGCAGGGCGAGCTGGAGCCCCTCAAAGGCAACTTTGACTGGGAGGCCATCTTCGAGGCCAGCACTCTGGGTGGGGAGCTGAGCACTCTGGAAGCCCTGGAGCTGAGCCCCCCACTGAGCCCTGCCTCACACAGAGACGTGGACCTCACTGTCCATGGCCGCCACATCGACTGCCCTGCTACCTGGGGGCCTCCAGTGGAGCAGGCCACTGCTGACAGCCTGGACTTCGACGAGACCTTCCTGGCCACGTCCTTCCTGCAGCACCCCTGGGACGAAAACGGCAATGGCTGCCTGCCCCCAGAACCCCTCTTCGAGGCGGGGGATGCCACCCTGGCCGCTGACCTACAGGACTGGGCCGGCGTGGGTGCCTTCTTGTAAGAGGCCAGGCCTTGCCCTGCCTCTAGACAGTGCCCGAGTCAGGGCCCAGGACTGCTCCCCAATACTGGCCCACGGACATCTTACTGCCCAGGCAGGGGCTGGGCCAGGTTTCCCAAGGCTGGCTTCACACAGCCACACTGCTGCCAGCCCAGGTTGTCCTCAGACTCAAGCCCAGGAGGCTGAGAACTGGGAGCCCAGGACCAGAAGTGCTGCCTCCCCCGGCCCCCGTCAATCCCTTCCATACACAGTGTTTCATGGATCCGAGCTCCCCACTCCAGGGATAGGCTAACGGGCCCTGCACCACGAGCACCAAGGCCTGGAAGAATCCCAGCCAGGCTGGGAGGAACAGAATAAGGCCCTCCCAGTGCACCCCCCCTGCTCTGCCCTCTCTCCCGCTCGATCCCTCCTGCTTCCCCAGGTCTCTATTCAGAGAAAGTTCCTAGGTACAACAAGCGCTAATTAGATGACAGTAAATTAACCCCCGGGAGGCTCCTCCCGGCAGAGCTTCCCTAAGGGCCAGGGTGGCAAAGAACTAACTGGGGGAGGGGCACAGAGAGGAGGCTGAAGTGATGGGGTGCAGGGTGGGGAACAGAGATGTTCCGCAGAGCCTCTGGGGTCTGTGCCTGCCTGGCCCCATCTATAGGGGAAAGAAAATTGAAGGATGTAAATCCCTAATCTGGAGCCGGATTTGAGGCTGAGAGCAGCGGGGAGTGAGGGGGTTGGGGTAGGGGCAGCCAAGCTGGGGGTGGGGGTGGGGGAGAGGGATAGACTAATGTGAGTATAGCTGTAGTTAACACTTAACTGGGAGGGACCAAGCTTGCTGGAACCACCGGACCAGGAAGGGGGGCAGCCCCCTGCCCCTGCCTGAGCTTGGGGATGGGTCTTGTGCCATCCTGACCCCTGGGGCTACCTCCCATATCTACCCTCTGTGTGGGGCAAGTTAACCTTTTTCATTGAAAGTTATTTACAGTAAAATTTTTTTTTAAATAAAATTTCTCAAAATCTACAACATGGGCCTCCTCATAGCTTTCTTTGGAAAAAGCAAAGGCCCAGTGATTTTTGCTTAATTGTTTGTTTGGGAGGTAGTGCTTCAGTGTCCAAGAGGGGGACGGCTCGGGGAAGATGGGAGGCAGTGAATTTCTATAAAAGGGCCCCCTGCCCAAATCCCCACCACCACACTGGGGAGGGTGCGGCCAGAGGCAGCTCTTGGGAGCCGCTTGCAGCCTGGGCCTCAGCACCTACATCTGTGCAGTGGGGAGGATTGGGCTCAGGGCCCCGGGGAGCAGGAGACAAAGGGGGAAGGTGCACGCTGGCCCTGGGACTCACAAAGGCCAAGTGTGCTGGGACTCACGCCATCTCCCACCACCAGGGCTTGCCCAGGCTCGCCGCCCCATCTGCATCCCTGGCCTGGGCCTGTCTCTGGTACCTCCCTCCTTTGGTCCTTGCCGGGCAGGACAGAGTATGAGGTCAGAGAGACCTAGCCCAAGGGCCCCCTTCCTGCACTAGTGTGAATTCACCTGACCCAGCCCAGTGTGGTACCAGGAGGAGGAAGCCACCAGGGAGAGGGCTGGAGTACTCAGACCATCCTCCCTACCCACACTGGCAGGTCCACTGCCACTAGACTGTTACGGGAAACTGAGGCTCAGGACATGTGTCTGGGTGACACTCAGCTGGCACCTCTTAATCCCCTCACCCTAGGTTTGCCTGGCATCTACTGCCTACCCAGCCCCCATGGGACCCCACATATACATTCTCCCCGCTGCACATGTGCGCACACACACACACACACACACACACACATACACACACGCGCGCGTGCGCGCGGGCACAAATGGGTACTGTCCAGAGCTGTCCTGCCCAGCCCCCACAGTCCTGCTGCCCCCCAGGTCCTTTTCTTTCTTTGTCCTTGAGTTTGGCCGTGGGCCAACCCATTCCCTGGCTAACTTGCTGCTTTCACTTGCTAATTATTCCAAATATTCCAGAAGGGCACACACACTGCAGGACAGGGCGGGCAGGGCAGGGGCCTCACTGAACACAGATGCCAGCCAGCCCTGCACACAGCGCACAGACAGGGCCGCCCAGCGCCGCAGCCCCGACACTGCCTCTCTCTCCACTCACCCACTCTGCCCACCACAGCACTGGGACACAGCAGGGTGGCATCCTTCCCCACTAGCCCCAGCCAAGCTGGAACACCCTGAGTGACAGTACAGTGTGACTCAGCCTGCACCAGGCCCCTGCTGGGAGGAAGAAGGGAAATGTCAGGGGCAGTGCAGTGACCCCCTGGAGGAGCACTGGCCAAAGAAGCAGAGCCAGGTGTGCCTCTGTCTGCTTTTGACAATCACCCAGGGCCTCCTGAAAGCCCTGATGCTCAGTACCCAGGCTCTACCCTGGACCGATTAGACCAGAATCTCTGGCGTGTCCAGCATTTCTCCCCACCTCCTAGGATGGGGAATTGAACCCAGGGCTTTCTCAATGAGCTATATCCCCATCCCTTTCTTTATGCTTATTTTGAGAGAGGGTTTCACTAAGTCACTAAATTCCTCAGGCTAGGCTCAAACTTGTGATCCTCCTGCCTCAGCCTCCTAGAAGATTGGGTTCACATGCCTGCACCTGACTAACATCTGCACTTTTTAAAGGTTGTTAGCTATATCCAGTGCGCAGCCCAAACTGAGAGGGCAGGGCGCTCTGGAGAGGGCTTGCATGATCCAGGCAGCACTGCCGAGGCAAGGAAAGCGTGAATCCCCGAGGCCTGTGCAGTTCTTCATTCCTGCCTGCCCCTCAGCACCCCAGGTTTTTCTAAAAAACAATGTTGATTTCCTTCCTATGTATTTATAGATCAAGCATAATCCCAACCCAAACATGCTGTGTGCCATTTCACAGTAAGTTGCAAACGTGACACATGACACTAAATATACTAAATGCTTCAGTGTATAGCTCCCTAAATAAGGACATCACTACAGAACCCTCGGATGCAGGACTTCATCATTGGACCAATAATCCCATCCGGTCCACAGAGCCCAACCAAACAGAGATCTCTAGGCCAGTGAGCCAATCCAAGAGCATGTGACACCTTCACTGTCGCAGCCTGTATCTTGTGGGGACTGTGGACAATATGGGGATGGAAATGAGGGTCTTGTACATGCTAAGCAGTCACCCTACCACTGAGCTGCAACTCCAGCTCCTTTTTTTTTTTTAATGTTTTCCACAACAGTATTGAAGCCAGGGCCTTTGCATGAAGCTATATCTCCTTCTCATTATGTATATTTTTTAAATTTTGAAACAGGAACTTGCTAAATTGCCAAATTGCCCAGGCTAGGCTTAAACTTGGCCACCCTTCTGCCTCAGGCTCCCAAGCAGCCAGAAAGATAGTTGTGTGCCACTGTGCCTGGTTGTCCTAGTTCTTTTGAGCTATGTGGCTTGAGCTCATGACTCCAGTTCTCTGAGCAGGTGTCTCCTCTCCTTCATTTCTTTGTTTTTGGATTTGGTTTTTTTTTTTGAGACAGAGTCTCACTCTGTAGTGAAGGCAGGCCTTGAACTCACTATGTAGCCCAGGCTGGGATCCAACTCTCAGCAATCCTCCTGCCTCAGCTTCCTGAGTGCTGAGATTATAGGTATACACCACTATGCCCAGCCTCCCTTTCATTTCTGTGCCCCAAACTCCACTTTTGCCGTGGAACTCCTGCACTCCAGCTCCTGAATCATTCCATCCTCAGGTGTTGGGGGAGGCCCTTTCCCAAATCAGTGAGCTACTCCCTGTCCCTGAGCCTCTTTCCTGTCCTCCCTGGATACCCAGGAATGTGATAGGTAGGAGGGAAAAAGAAAGCCAGGAGCTTGAACCTTGGAGCTTCTGCCTCTCTGCCCAGGGCACTTGTTGTTCTGCACGACAAGGCACATTGGGGTCCAGTGATTCTTGGGTCTGGAAGTTCCCCAGGAACCATCCTGCCCTGCACTAGGCCCCCTGCAGAGCTAAGCCAGCCCTGGGCGGGCAGGAAGCACACAGGGATGATGGCTGTGTCAGGAGCTGCATCCTGGGCAGAGGCCCAAAGGTAAACAGGTGTATTTGGACTCCAGCAGGGGGCAGTGGGCCAGCCCCATGGGGCAGGCCTGGGCCTGCCCAGGGTGGGGAACTGGGGTGTTGTTAACAATGGGGTGGGACAGAGGCCCAGGTTCACCTGACACATTCTTGTGTGAGGAGGAGGAAAACACAGGTGACAAGAGAGGGCAAGACTGGGGATCTGAGGGGGCTTTGTTCAGCCACCCGGACCAGGGCTGTGCTGACCCGCGTAAACCATGAGGCAGGGACAACGTGCATGGGAGCCCTGAGGGGTCACCTTCCTCCCAGGACATGTGTGTCCATCTTGCTGTGTTGCTCCCCAGGTGGGACAGGTCAGAGCCACCTTGACAGGCGGGCATGCTGGGGCCTGAATTTCCCCGTGTGCATCAGGAGGAGGCAGGGACTGGCTAGAGGGACACTGTCCCCAAGAACCCAATCAGCCGGAGCTGGCTAGGCAAGGAGAGGTGGGGATGTCCAACAGCCGAAGGGGGACAACAGGGGACCTCTAGCTCCCTGCTGTCCTAAACAGGCTGGCCCAGCCCCTAACTGTCCCTTGAGCCACATCCTCTAGTCTAAGGGGAGGACTCGAGCCTGCTGTCTGGGCCGCAGGCCCCCTTCCCCTTGGAAGGAAGCAGTTCCCTTGAGGCCCCAGCAAAGCATTTGCACACCCCATGGGCACATCCCGCCCACCCCCGGGGCCTTCTGAAGCCCAGGCCACAGGCAGCCCTTTCAGCACTGTTGTTTGACCAGGGGATTAAGCTGAAGCTGGGAAGCCGCCAACTGAGCTCCCCTCACCCAGCCACCCACGGGCTCTGACAGTGGCCCTGCCCCTGCCCTGTCCACCCTGCCCTCTCCCGCCTCCCTCTGGGCACCAGGCCCTGCCCCCTCAGCATCGGACTCCCTTCTAGTTTGCCCTGAGAGACCTGTGTCAAGGTGGGGAGGACAGTGGATAGGACACAGGCACTGCCTCTCAGGGATTCATCTCATAAGCCTGTAGGTCTGTGGACACCTGTGCACACAAGCTTGTCTGTCCTGCTCATTCCTACATTGGGCACATCAAGCCCACTGGCCAACTTGTTGAGAAATGAATGAAGGAATGAATGGGTGAGTGAATGGATGGATGGGTGGATGGATGGAGGGATGAACTGGCCGGCAGATCAGTAAAAGAAAAAACGCAGTAAGACGGCCTTGGCAAAATGCTCTATAGCAGTGATGGTGAATGTTTTAGAGCTTTCAGTAATAACAAAGAACCAGCTGCAGCACACGTGCCGCAGGTTCGCCACTACTGCTCTATACAGCCAACATCAGGGGGTTTTCAGGCGCCTTTGAGACCATCTCAAAATAAAAAGAGGCGGGGACTGTAGCTCAAGGTGAAGTTTCTGGGTTCAATCCCCAGCACATTTTTAAAAAAAATCTAGCCTAGGAAATTTGAGGACAGTTTGCAGATATTTGATAAATTCACAAATGAATAACTATCTGAATCAATAAATGAAATGGAGTCAGTGAGGGGAAGGAGGAGATGAGACGGGGCTTTGTCCTGTCCTGTGGCAGTCACCCTGTTACACAGAGGGGAAGTCACTGGCACATGGATACCAGAAACCAGAAGGAGACAGATAAAGGGCTAAGACAAGTCACAGGGACCACAGTGACGCAGATCAGGGGGAAAGGACCCGGCGTGAGGACTCCTCCAGGGGCTACATCTGGGGCAGGAGAGCAGCGCCAGGGCTGAGTCTTCGAGGAGGCCACTATCAGGAAGTGAGGCAGAGGACTAGGGTTAAAAAGAGGGAGGAGGAGAAGCAGGCAGTTAGGATGCCGGGAAGGCAGGTGGCAGCCGCTGCTTCCCCTGCACACCTGTTCCCACAGCCCCACCCGCCACCCTGCAGGTGTATCCCGGGGCCCGGCACTGCTGAGCGGGCGGGTGGATGGTATGGGACGGGCAGAAAGCCAGAGTTTGC